CTCCGAACTCACCTTCAGCATGCTACTGTGGCAAGGGGGGGAGGGGGGACCCAGCAACCAACGTGACCCACCTGAAGAAGCTCTACATATTACCAACTTTTGCAGTTGGAGTTATCAAAGGCCTCCACCATCACACGACCTCTCAACAGGCGCCAGTTCTCCCCAAGCGCTCCTGGAAAATGTTAAGTGAGCTGCAGCCTGCAGCGCAGAGGGAATGCATCAAGCGGGAACGTTGCAGCGCAACCGTGCAGGCCTTTCATGCACAGATTATTGCAAACTGCGAGAGGAGTCGCCCTTTGTAGTCAATTCACGCAAAAATCAGATGTACACCGAGACAATGAAGAGGAGCTAGGTGGAAGTGACGACAATGACAATGAATGATGCGGATTGAGGAGTAATGAGGATGAGGAGTCATAGAGGATTGTGACAACTACTGTTTGTGTACTGTTTTAAGGCTGTTTGCTATTTCTCGTTGATTTACATAAAGTGTCTTATTTGACCGTTGACCTTTGTTTTGACCTTGACCTTGACCCCATATCTAAAAAATAACTCCAGAAATGGACTCCCTGCCCTCGAAAACCCCTAAAAAGAGGACTTGCATGACACTCCTAGGGCATCGAGATCACAAATTGTAAATTGCCAAAATCCTCAAGATCGACGGCGGCGGCCATCTTGAATTCCAAGAAATGCTCAACGATGCACAGAGGCGGCAAAAACCAAGCTAAATCAGCTCTCCTAACTATATAGAACACATTTCCATGAAAAAAGTTCAAGTAATTAACATTGCAGCGGTCAACATTTGGCAACTGACTATTTCCAAAATGCCATTTTTACATAAAAATTCCAAATTTGAGTTGCCACATAACTAGATGCTGGGAATTTCATGATTTGTTTTGGCTTGAACATAGAGATACATCTCATCTGCAAAAAAACGAGTGATTGATTCGATTCAGTCGTCAATAAACGCTTACTCTCCATTAAAGCAATACTCGTGCAAAAGGTTGAGTGTATTTCGCATTCGGTGCGCATTCGGTGCTACTATAGCCAGTGTTTTAACGACGAAATCTCCTAAAGCTCTCGTAACTTGCATTGATTCATTGTTATCGAAAATATACATGCTTGTTGACACTGTGAATCCTACAAAATAGCATGAGTTGTTTATTTTCCGTTATTGATCTCATGTAGGTATTTCATTATGTCACCTGTAATGTTACCGTGTACGTAAGTAACCAATAACAAACCAATATGGTTTGGTGGATGCGTTTAAGTTTGTACCTTACAGGTCGAGAAGAGGCGCGCACAAATGTCCTTATAACGTGTTACCGAAGCCACATCACCCCATACGCCACTAGAGCATCGCATAGCATTGCATAGCATTGGTTAGGGGGTTGGTGTCCCCGGTAACACACTAGCATACTTACTGTTCTGTTGTTATTCTTACTGAAATAAATCTATCATGTGAAATCGCCAACGTAGCGTTGTAAACCCATTAACTTGCCTAACCGCCATTTGCATCCCCAACCAATCTCCTATAATACTAACGGAAAGCGACAAACGCTAACTATATGTTTAAAGCCTCTATTTTTAAGACATGTGCTCATACGACGTACACTCATATAACACGTATATATGCGTACAAGAGAAATGCACACAACACTTACTAATAACAGAACATATTTATAATCTCTATTTCTAAAGTACACGATCCGTGGAATACGCAATTTCATTAGTATATATATATATATCCACGGAATGTAACACAAATAAGACGTCAGTAAGGGATTATGAATATTTATGTTAACTGTGCAAATGCTTAAAAGTTAATGTTTACATAATTAAGTTACGCCTAGCACTATAACCAGGCCATCAACATTCAGTGTGCTCTAGGCGGGCCATAGGTTTAAGTCATAACACGCTGTGAATTATATATATGAAGGCAGATCAGCGTATCTAATACATATTTGTGAATGTGTGTCTGTTTGTCTGTTCTCGATGCAAATCAATACGGAGCACTCTAAAAATGTTAAAGATGGACAGTAGGGGTAAATTTTGTTGCTGAATGTCATGGGCACATTGGATTTGACCTCGGAGGTCATCTAAGCCAAGAAACGGGGGGAAAAACGAAAAAAATACTGGCCCCTGCAGCAGCATTAAATCAACGCCCCCTCCAGCAGCATTAAAATAC